CTGCACCATGTGCTGGCACCTTTTCCATAGTCGATCGGTAGGCTGCAAGTATACCTACGTTTTGCTCGTGATGTTTCAAAGTGGCAAGTAGCGTAAAACGTGCCAATGTTTTCGAATGGAGACTAATATTTGGCACGCTGTGTACTGTCATATATACGGCTATTGAATAGGCATACAATATTTCATCCACATGAACTTGACTGAAAAATATTGTGCGATGCACACTGAAACGTTGTGACGGTGATGCACGGATGGCAACCATTCACAAAAAAACATTTTGTTCACCAAATTACAGGTGACGTCCCTGGCTGAATACCGCACCTTTCCGCGGTATCATTTAAGCACTGGCTGCCAGTCTCTGTACCGTGCAGTCGAGTACAAGCAATCAGTTTGTACTCGCAGCACCACCGGCTTCGGTCGGCACGCCGCTGGCGGAAGGGCCGGGCCGAGCCGGGAGGTCCGGCGGGCGGCCCGGCCCCGCCGCCAGCAGACCGTGAAGTTCCTCCCCTACCCGGCCATCAATACCCGATCGCTCTCCGGCCGTGCCCATTACGCTGCCGCTGTTTGTTTTGACGCCGCCTAAAGCGCGCCGCCATTGTCGCGGGTGGCGATCGCGGCGTGGCGGCATGATTGCCGCGCCGTCCGGCGATTATCAGGCTATTTTCACACCCGCCATGGCGGCCGGGCCGGCCGGCCGCGGAAATTGGCGCGCCGCGCCGTGTAATGGCGGGAAGGCGGCCGTCCGGCGCCGCCTCGAGTCGCGCTTCGGCCGCGCTGGCCGCCGGGAAGTCGGCGGTCGTGTTGAGCCGCCCGGACGGGGGTGTCATGAGGGCTGGGTCGGCGGCGAGGGCGACTTTCTGGCGCTCGCCGCCGCTGGACTGACCCTCCGTGGCAGGCAGGACACCGAGCGCGGGGCTAATGATGGCACCTGTCAACGTTTGTGATTCGGTGCGAATCCTGCCTCAAGAGGCCGAAGCAATGCTCGAGCTAATGTCGACTAAGACGCTTCCTGCGCGAAAGCCCTACTAATGGTACAGTACTTGTCTTTTGACGGACTTGGCTTGGCCCGACGCAGCGAGGGAGAGGCCGAAAACATCAACTCTCTCGAAGCTGGCTCCTCGAGGGGGTCCACAGATTGCGTGGACAACAGTCGGATGACCTTGGAAGCAGTCCGCCGCTGAAGCCAATCGGCATCCTGCCGCGGCCACACTCGTCTGACGTCGGCAGCACGTGCCGCGGTGCGTGCCGCCTCGCGCACGGCCCGATGCCACGGCGCACGGTTGGGAGCACGTGCGCGGTCTCCGTGCCCCGGAACGTGCCGCGCTCTCGTGCCGGGGCCCGATGACAGATCGCTAGGCAGAGACACAGCGGGACAAGAGACGCAACTTTCTAAAAAAAAAAAATATCAGCCCGGGGCCTGGCTCGACCTCCCTAGATAGTGATCCAGCCCGTAAAAGCTCGATGTGAGACAATGCCATTCCGCAATCAATCCTCAAGTATTTATTTATTCCAATTTGTATTGTATCATCTCTCCTTAATGTTAGACATCTACATTAACGTGTGTATGTAATGACATGTATGCGTCATCTAACGCATAGCAGTACTTGGCTGGGTTGGCTTAAGCTAAAAAAGCCTCTGCTGAAATCTTCCATATTTAAGCTTAAGTGTCAGGGGTAATAGGTGTCATTCATGTAAGTCTGGGTTTCAAGTGGTCTGCACGCAAAAAAGGGGATTACGAAATTAAGTGTAAACTGTGTGCAAACGTATGGGTCCATGTCGGGGTCCATATCGGGGTCCATGTCGGGGAGTCCATGCGCCCTAATCGTTTGGGATACAATGAACACCTGTGAAAGGCTCAAAACAAAACAGGGAATACCCCTTCCGGTGACCATTTTCTGGTAAAGCACACTTAGACTGAAATCCATAGAGGTATAGATCCTATGCCCCTTTTAGAGTTCAAAGTCATCTGCAGAGCATAGGACCACCCAGACAGGAAATAAGTGAATGCATCCTTTAAAAAGCCGGTGACCAAACCTTACCGCACAGGGCTCAGCATGGCCGATTATGCGAATGTGATATGCGCCTTGATGTGTGATGCGTGCTTAAAATAGTTTACATGTATGAATGATGCCTGACGCGTGATGCGCGATACCTGTTTATCTGAATCGTTTGCATGCGTTATTGATGCGTGATGTGATGTCTGTTTGCTCGAACTCGCTGGCATGTTTCAGCGAAGCGTGATACGTAATGCCTGTTTTGTTGAATTCGTTTGCATCTGCGCGCATTTTTCGTCATCCTAATTCTTAGATAGACTTGAATTGCATCGTAGTAATGACTAGCAATCGCTTCTTATATAATCCCCTGAAGTTGGTGTCCCGTAAAAATTGTGGCTCGGTGTTTCGAAAAACAAACTGAAAAATCGGGTGGGATGACCGCAGGTAACGTTGAATTAACTTCTGCTGTTCGTTTTCATAAAGGCGTGTTGCCAAAATATCAACGTGTTTATATCTCCACTCTCCTGGTCTTTCTCCGAGGAATAAGGCCATTATTGCCCTGTCATCGGGGTGTCAGTTCATTACAATGTACGGACATGGGCTCGATCATCATTCGACTGTGTCACAGTTGCCAAATGTCAAGTTTTTCATTGGAGAAACAGAGCCAGCCCCCTATACGGTGTTTGCTGTCCTTAAGTTGATACATCATGCAGCCACGCCACACAAAAACCACATAGTAGCTTTGAAGTGATCCACAGGTTCTCTTACCACCAATTATGTTCCGGCCCATAACCATCACCGCCTGGTTTATGTTATGCTGCGTGGAAACCACGTGAAAAGAGGAATAGAAAAGCCATTTTGTCCACGGATATTTTCCCCTCCAGTGACATCATTGCCACTTAGCAATGTAATAAAACTGTGACATTTTGCTGCTCGCTGGAGAAAAATACATTTAAACAAGGAAAGGCATTAACATAGAATTTCCGGGAAGCCTTCTACAAATTACAGAGCCTGCAAGCTGCAGCTTTCGGTCTTTCGACGTCATATGTTGAGATGATTTTTTCACACATAGCTGCATGCATATGCATCAGTGGAAAAAGTCAATAAATCAGGCAGAACAAAAGTATTCGTACAAAAAATGTTAAAAATAGCAACAATCACGGCAATGGAAAACCATATAATGTAATCGGTCTGTAGGCGTTGTCGCAAATTGCATCTTCTGCAAGCATAACTAAGCAAACTCTATGCTATCACTTTTTCAGTCTCAACAACTGTTGCACATTTCATACGCCATTCACTGTCACTGTATTGACAAACGAGTGAGGCTAGAGTAATGAAAGGGTCTCAGTGTCTCATGCATTTCATTAGTGCTGGATATTGACGGTGATTTGTGAAGTATGGTATTTGTGTGAACCAGGAAAGGTTAAGCACGCCACACACTCACGATAACAGCCAACTGCAGTGTGCACTGTATGTGTATTGAGGACCCACTTAACTGCTGCTCGATAATGTCAGGCGATAGGTTTGAAAAAGGTGTTTGTCTTTTTCTTTATTTTTGTGTGAAATGTTTGCTTAAAGGGAAACCTGTGCAACCCGGTTTACTGGTGTGTCATGTGTGTCATTGGTTTTCTGTCACTGGTGCTCTTGCTGTAAAAATACAAATTTGTTTATTTCATAATTGTTTTGTGTTTATCAGCACACTCTGGGTTTGGAATAATTGTAGAACTTAAAGAGTTGCAAATAGTACATCATTTTACCTGACGAATTTTTCGATCTGCAAAACCCGCCAAGTCTGGCCCATAACCCGGCCAAAGCCCCGCGGGCTCTGCGGTCTGAAACTGATGGGCTGGCGGGCTGAAAAGTTGCTTCTCTAGTCCGAACCCGCCTGCTCTACGTACGGCGGCGCCGTGCCGGTCTTCGCGGCGGCGGATGGTGAGCGATCAGCGTATGGGAGAGGATGAAGGATGGAGCCCTCCCTGTGCGGCTCGGCCCGGCCTGTGTTCGGGCTCTGACGTCAGCGGGGAGGGTGGAGCCCTGTGCGGCTCGGCCCGCCCTGTGTACGGGCTCTGACGTCAGCGGGGAGGGTGGAGCCCTCCCTGTGTGGCTCGGCGTGGCCTGTGTACGGGCTCTGACGTCAGCGGGGAGGCAGGAGCTCTGTGCGGCTCGGCCCGCCCTGTGTACGGGCGCTGACGTCAGCGGGGAGGGTGGAGCCCTGTACGGCTCGGTGCGGCCTGCGTACGGGCCCCGACGACACGAGGAGGCAGGAGCTCTGTGCGGCTCGGCGCGGCCTGTGTTCGAACTCTGACGTCAGCGGGGAGGATGGAGCCCTGTACGGCTCGGCCCGGCCTGTGTTCGGACTCTGACGTCAGCGGGGAGGATGGAGCCCTGTGCGGTACAGCGCGGCCTGTGTGCGGGCTCTGATGTCAGCTGTTTCGCCTGCTTTTCATAGCATTTACAAGTCTAAGACACCCCTGAAAACACTTGTCTGCACTGCTTTTATGACACGACCAGCGTCTTATATTCTTCTTGAGTAAGATTTGGATACAAGGCAATGGCTTAATAGGTGACACTATCTACCGAAACCTTTTATAGTTTCTTCAGGGTCTCCCCGTTGATTTGTATTAGTGCAAAACAAATGAGTGACTTATCACTGTAAATTACGGACATCCTTTTCAAATTATTCAGCCAAAGCAAGCAGCGTGACAAAAGTAGCTACTTGGGTAGGTATTACAGCATGATATTGAGCATATAAATGCTGCAGTTGATGATTGATGCAGATGTGTCGTCAGGAGACGTTATGGAACTTGAGGTCCATTCCATCCGATGTGCGAGGCGCAACCCCTTGTGTTGCCGAGCTTGATCATCGACCTAAGATGATCGGATGTTCATGGTCGCAGCAGATGCGTGTAGAGGGCATTTATGTGGCGATTGCTGCTACCGCCAAATCACGTCTCATCCAACGAAATATTTCAGACACTTCATGCAGTTAAAATACAACAAGCCGCATTCAGGTTGTATAGGGCTTTGTATTTAACACAGCGACATTCACACGCCGCATTTATATATCCTGGCACATAAGTTTGTACAAGCCCTAGCAACTAAACTATGATACGACATAGACTGCTGACTTGTGGCGGAGGTGGTGCGCAGCCGGGGTCCGGACTGATATGTTTAATGATCGCACACGCTCAGTACATGCCCGCTGTGGCGGGGAAACGGCGGGCTTTTCCAGCAGGAAGGTTCAACACATGGAGTCGGCATACAGCTCACAATATTCAACTCCCGCAGTTTCGCTCCATCGCGTATTGCTAAGTCAGTCAGCTTGCAGCCCTTTGCATGATGGAATTTTCTTTCGTTGCTTTTTGTTAGCTTGCGATTGTGAATTGCTTTTTGATGCTTTGCAGTAGTCTGCGAAAGCAGAATTTCTTTCTTTAGACATGAGCATGAGAACTGTCGGAGGCGAGCCAAGATATAAGTGGTTCCTATCCAGGCAAAATTTGGCGAAAGGGATGGGAAGCCACGTTCTGTTTCGTTTCCGACAACGTGGTAGATTGTTCAGCCTAAGATGTTTAGAAAGTAAAATTGGGAGCCATCTCTGTGCAGCACGAGCAGGAATACTGAAAATAGATGACTGGCAACGTTCTGCAGCTCTCGTCCAGGTGGCTCCCGAGCTCACGTCATCGAGGTCCAGGTGGCTCCCTAGCTAACGTCATCAGCGTCCAGGTGGCTCCCGAGCTCACGTCATCGAGGTCCAGGTGGCTCCCTAGCTAACGTCATCAGTGTCCAGGTGGCTTCCGAGCTCACGTCATCAAAAAGAAAAGCCGAAATAAGCCAAACACCGCAATCATACCCATACGGAAAAAGGATAACACGCCTGGCACCAAAGCACTTCACCGGTACAAATGATCAGCAACCTCATTCGCCTGCGCGAGGGGAATGGCGGACGGGGATCAGAGCGAGTGATATTATCGTGCAGCTTCAGGAAAGCGCGGTAACCCCGGCCTGCAGGGCCCAATGGAAGATGAGGAGCTAACTAACGGGATGACATCACTAAACGGGCGAGTTCTCAGCATCCAGCTGCGCGCTCGACCGTCCTCTAAAACACGGAAAGCAATGGTATCAAACGCGCAAGCCAATGCCTGGGAGCAGTCCGCGGGGGCGCGCGCGCGTCGACACCGGTAGGAACGTCGACATCGGTAGGAACGTCGTCGTCATCGTCGGCGTAACAAGACACCCCCGAATATCACAGCGTTGGGAGCGGCTGCCGCCGGCCCGCTCAGCAGAGAGGAGCGGCGACGGCGGCGGCCGCCGGTGACGCGGCCGGGGGCGACCCGCTGCGCTCGGCCCACGGCTGGATGCTCTGCAGGGCGCTGAGCGACGCGTGGTTCACGGGCAGCTGGTCGCGGGGCGAGTACACGCCCTTGGAGAGGCACCCGTCCGGCTGGAAGGACATCATGAGGCGGCTGGTCGCCTGGCGCTCGGCCTCGCGCTCCTCGGCCGTCTGCCGCCTGCCGGGGCACACAACAGGGCGGCGTTAGACCGGGCTGCTGTTACAGTGATGGCAGGCGCTAGGGTTGACGGAACGGAGCGGGGTTAGGGTGGGACGGAGCGGGGCCAGGGTGGGACGGAGCTGGGCCAGGGTGGGACGGAGCTGGGTCAGGGTGGGACGGAGCAGGGTCAGGGTGGGACGGAGCGGGGCCAGGGTGGGACGGAGCAGGGGCCAGGGTGGGACGGAGCAGGGGCAGTGTGGGGACGGGGCGGGGTCAGGATGAGACGGAGCGGGGTCAGAGTGGGACGGAGCGGTGTCAGGGTGGGACGAAACGGGCATAGCAGCTGCTGAGCAAAACGTATCGATCAGAGCGGCATTACGAAGACTGAGTAGCCAGTCACTCGACTAAGCCCATGGGGTCCGATGGATTGGGCAAACACATCCGGGGAAATTGGGAAATTAATCCACGAGGAATTAATACTCGAGAAACACAGCTTGGCTGTGAAGAAAGGAAATAGCTGATATCTAGGAACACGGTTGGTTTCAAGATAACAGAGCAAACATGCTCTAAGCTTTGGTCCTTCTATATCTTTTTTTATTGTTTTCAAAGACTTGATCCGAGTCCTTTGAATGGATGGATTGCTAGTGTCAGAACTCATGCTAAGCAGTGCTTGTTGTGTGGGCCCGACCCTTACCATCCGATCACGCAATTTCAGGAAACAGCTGAATTCAGTCGCGAAAGTTCAACGTGCTGCAATGCTCGACACGGTCCGTCCTGTCCTCTGACGTCAACTGACCTTTAGCGCGACCACTGCCACCGGCTGCAGGCCATAACTGACAGGGACAATAGCGGGCGCTTAGCGAGTCCAACCCACCCTGCCACGGGTGGGTGACCGGAAGGCGGGCGCTCTAACTAGCTGAGCCATCGGGACGGGCAACGGACGAACGGGAAGGACTACTTGTTTCTCAGCTCGGCGCTGCTGCGTAGCAAGATGGGCGTAGGATACAGCTGACGGTTGGATCACGCTGGCAAGGAAAACTTCTAGCGATGGGTGATATTAGGAACAGGAGTGCGACTTTGTTCAACAGAAATCAAACTTGGTGATGGGAATGCCAGACATGGAAGGGACTAGGCCGTATAAACCGCTATCAGCGTGGTGGACAATAGCCGTATACTGTTTCGATAAACATATGCATATCACAATCCTGCGTTACCTAGCGCTTGGGTTACTGGACTGAAAACTCTCGCTCCTAACGGCAAGCAGGCACCAGCAAAACTTCCAGGCGTGGTCATTCGGCGCTGACGCCGAGAAACATAGACCAAAATGCGCCCCGTGTAACACAATCACCATGTGTCCCTTGGAGCTCACACACAGAGCAAAAACCAAGCGTTTGGAACGCTGTGTGTGTGGCTGCGAGCCTGTCAGAGACACACGAACAATGTATGAACATAATCACTTGCAGAGACCCTAAAGCTTCAGCCTGAAGGGCATTACCACGCATTGTTAGCCACCTATTTGGACGTTGCAATTATGTTGCCAGCCGTCACGACTCACGTGGTCCCTGCGACATGCTAGGGCCACATCATTACTAGCGCGGCGCCGCAGAGTCCCGCCGCGAAAACAATGGGATGGCTGGCGTTGAATGTTATTCGAATAATGCTGCGTGCTAATTCTGGTGTGGCGGCAAATGGAGCGATGGTATCGATACCGGAGTTAAATGGATTTTGAATGTTTGATTGCAAATCACCAGCAATTAATCAAGCCGAACTGTTCGCGGCTGTCAGCGTCAAAACTGGTCAGCGTTTGAAGCGGGGTCGGCGCGGCACGGCGTGTCCCGCCCCCCCCCCCTCCCCTCCGGCTGTGTCACCGGCCGGCTCATCGCGTGTCACTTCACCCCAGCGGCGACCACAAGCACGGTGTGTCCCGACCTCGGCCGTGTCACCGGCCGGCCCATCGCGTGTCACTTCACCCCAGCGGCGGCCACAAGCACGGCGTGTCCGGCGCCCACCGGCCGGCTCATCGCTGGTCACTTCACCCCAGTGGCGGCCACCAGGACGGCCAGCTGCGGCCCCTGCTCGCCTCCGCCGCCGCCCGTGCCGTCAGCCCGGTGCCTTGCGCTCCCTCGGCGGCGCCGGCGCGCGTGAGACCAGTCGCGGATGACCGATCATGACAGGCCGACTGGGCGGCACGGCAGCCGCGTGGGTTCAAACACGCTGCCGCCCGCCCCCTGCCGCCGTATGCGACAGTACAGTAGCGCGATGCAGTGATAGTATCGCGCGCCGCCGCCGCCGCCGCCGCCGCCGCCGCCACAGCGCGCCCTGGCGGCGATGTCGGCAGTGGCGCCGGCGCCCCGACTCGATTGCGCAGCAACATGTGAATCGTTTTAAGAGTATCCATTTCGCTGATTTATTGTAGCCGCGCCAAAGCGAGCACTACTCGTTAATGGAACACCGCTAATGGTACACGGTAACCGGGCCGATTTGACGATTTGCATACCGATTTATACGGCCCGATGCCGGCCGTCGCGACATCGGCCGGCCGTCGGCGCCCGGATAAGATTCGAGCTGGCGCCAGCCGCGGCGTGCCGCGCCTGCGCCTGATACGACCCAGTCGCGCCGAAAGAGCAGCGTGTTAACGCGCGCGCCAGCGACGGCCAGCGGCGCTTTTTGTCGCGCTGTCTCGCGGTTTACGGTCGCCGGCTGCGATGGCCGCGGCGCCAGCGGCCGCCGCGCTGCGGCCCGCCGCCCGCAAAAACTGCACTCGTACCGTTTTAAGATAAAAGCTTCACTAAATGTTTAGATAGTCGGTAATAAGGTTTTATTGCGGGGCGAGCGGGGAGTGGTGCGCCATCCGTAGCGGCGGCGGGCGGCCGCACGGCGCCGCCAGTCTGGCGGCGATCGGCCAGCCTCACGCAAACCACACAAAGAGCCCCATCGCAGCTGAAAGCCTTTTATCTGAACAGGCTGTAATAATGGCATGACTCAATTAATTCCAGATAGCGACTTTACTATACGTCTATTAATAAAATCCAGTATCACGGTATCGGACAGACTGCGCATGCGTCGTGACGTCACCGTGACACGGGAAAGCCATTAGCGATGTCGTTACGGTGCGCCGGCGCAAGCCTGGGTCGTCGGCTTATCTGGCGCGGTGGGCTTTGTGCGCGTCCCCAGTTTCTCCGCGGCGAGCGCGCTTATCTGAAATGTTTACGCTATGTCCGAGTAATTAATACCGGGTCGCAGGTCATGCGGTGGAGCGGCGCCGGCAGCGCGCCTTCGCTCCAGCGCGGCGCGGCCGCCGCCGACGCCGCGTCAATTATTCACAGCGCCAGCCGCCGGCCGGTCGGCCTAATACTGACGCTAATTAAAGGAGCATTAAGACGTCGCCGGTAAACGGGCAGCAGCGCGCCGGGCACTCCACGGCGCTGCGTGGGCGGAGGCTGGAGGCCGCAGTGGCGTCGGGCTGTGCTGGTGTTGATCGCTGAATCGGTGGGGGTTGAGGCTTTTCTCCGGCGCTCTAGTGTGGCGAGTAAGCTGTCCGTGTTGCCTGTGGCGTGCAGTACGGTGTGAACTGGCCTCATCGGTGAGGCTTTCTAGAGGCCCGGGTTGCGGCTATTCCGGACCGCCAACCAAGAATATGTTCGACGATTGGAACGTGATTGAGACTTTTTGACATATTTCGTGCTGAAGATTAGCGCGACTCTGCAGTTCAAAACATCATTACTGGTAATAGCACATGGCTCTCCCAATGAACTTGGAAACAAGATGTGAACTTGTAAATGCTTGTCGTTGCTCTCTTTCCCACCAGAGCATTTATTTGCGTCATCAGTAGACATTTATCCAAGACGTGGCAGTTCGGCAATAAATTTTGCCTGAATCATCCGTCGTTTACAATAAGCCGCATGTTTTACAGCGTTCTTGGGGAATCCGGTTCCGAATCCTCCCAGCGCCCTGGATCCTCATGTGCGCGGATCACTGAGTGCGTGATTTCCGTAGCTCTCTCCATTGTGTGCGCTCGCTGGGTTGCTCAAGACGCCTGACGCACCATGTCCATGACGTCAAACGCGCTGCTATCTACTCGCTATGCTTCCTGAAGGACACAACCTTGGGGGCGGCCACCGCTTCCGCAAACGTACGAACGTCACTCTTTTCACGCGTGAGCGGGCTCGTCCGCGGCCTGTGACGTGACGCTCCTGTCCCGGCGTCGTGACACCTCCGTGATCCCGGCTTCGGCATTAGCCATTGGCCGGCTGTCGGGCGAGTGTCGGTTGGCCGGCCCCGTCCTGTGAACCCTCGGCCTGAGGTGTGTGGGGCCGGATGCGACCCGTCAGCAGCAGTCCAACTCGTCGTCGCAGTCCTCAGTCTTCCCAATCGGTGCCGCGCGGTCGTCGCAGTCCTTAGTTTTCCCACTCGGTGACGCGCGGTCGTCGCAGTCTTCATATCCTCCCCACCGGGTGACGCGCGGTCGTCGCAGTCTTCAGATCCTCCCCACCGGGTGACGCACGGTCGTCGCAATCCTCAGGCCTCCCCTCTGGGTGACGCGCGGTCGTCGCAGTCTTCAGATCCTCCCTACCGGGTGACGCACGGTCGTCGCAGTCATCAGTCTTCCCACTGGGTGACGCGCGGTCGTCGCAGTCCTCAGATCCTCCCTACCGGGTAACGCACGGTCGTCGCAGTCATCAGTCTTCCCACTGGGTGACGCGCGGTCGTCACAGTCCTCAGATCCTCCCTACCGGGTGACGCACGGTCGTCGCAATCCTCAGGCCTCCCCTCTGGGTGACGCGCGGTCGTCGCAGTCCTCAGATCCTCCCACTGGGTGACGCACGGTCGTCGCAGTCTTCAGCCTCCCCTCTGGGTGACGCGCGGTCGTCGCAGTCCTCAGATCCTCCCACTGGGTGACGCACGGTCGTCGCAGTCATCAGTCTTCCCACTGGGTGACGCGCGGTCGTCGCAGTCCTCAGATCCTCCCCACCGAGTGAAGCGCGCCCAGGATTGCTTTTACCAGGACCAGATCAATGAGAGTTCAAAAGGACGTGTTGTGCTGAAGCCATGTGCGACCGACGTCGGCTTCAGTTACCATGTTAGAGTTTGATGTTCACCGATCGCGCACACGCTGTCGGTCAGTTTGATGTTACCGTGCCTCTCCCCGAGATGAGCCTGGCTTGCGGCGCAGCATTTGGGGATAGCTTTGTGTGATGTAAAGCAGTCTCCTTGAACCGAGTTGGGTGCTAGGGAAGCGCGAAACGAGCCAAAATATCGTAAACTTAGTTAGTCTTTGTTGTCAGGATATTGGCCGATGCGCTTTAACCGATTCTTTTCTATCGCCGCCATCTGACAAATCACTCACTGTGTTGAACCTGACTCACCTCCACTTTGTGCGTCTGTTCTGGAACCAAGTCTTCACTTGGGCGTCCGTCATCTTCAGCTGCTTGGCCAGCGTTGCTCGCTCCGCCGAGGCCAAGTATTTCTGCTTTAGAAAACGTTTCTCTAGTTCGCATATCTGAAAGCATCGCACACGGGTTTTATTAGTGCGAGCTCCGGCAATGCATCCTTTAGATAGTTTGGATTTGCAGATCAAGCTGACAGCGCCAAGGTAACATTGTGTGCACAAAACGATGCGTCATGCAGCGAAGTGATGCACGTTTCAGATGACGCATTAGTACTGCATCACTATCAGCATTGATTTTTGTCCATTACGTGAGCCTCGGGTCCGCCTAAACTATTCCTGCACAGTAAAAGAGCCGGGAGAAAGGTGACCCTCGCCGTGACCGTCTGGAGTCTGCAGCCTTCAGAGCTCACCTGAACTCTCGTGAAAGATGTGCGCGGCTTCTTCCGCTTGGGAGGGGTGCGATTCTGGTACGGATGGCCTATTCTTCTGTTGAGCGGGAACGGAGCTGGAAAAGAAAGCTCAGTAAGTGCGGGTCTTTGACAAAAATCCACACGGAATGCCTGAAACGGATACGAGCCGCAAGCTTCCAATGAAGGTCAACTGCAGCAACGGGTTACAACACCTGCAGGCCGAAGCGTAAGCATCAAACACTCTGACATGGCTCATGAAAAAGCTGCTCCATTTTGGGCATTAAAATGAAATGGGTATAGTGGTGCTGTGCCAATCCATCTGGTTCACTAATAGTCGTTATTATGATCGACGGCCCTCGCGCACGGGCTACCCCGAAGCCGTATTCTGGTGCGATATCACTCGCATCTTGCAATTTTAAAGGGTTTGCCGGTTTTATTGGTGTTGAATTTCATGGCGCAGCCCTTAGGGAACGGGTTTTATCGGCTGGCGCTGAACGTAATCCCAAATAGAATAATTCCTACTGAGCTCAGGCGTGTTGCGACACATCACAGTTATTGGCTGTTTTCCATCAGTTCGGGAGCAAAACGGCATGTACTCGCCATCGATGAGCAGCCAACATAGTGCGACCGTTGCTATGACCATGCTGTGGTCCTCGGCAAACATTGTTTAATTCCTCATCTCGGTGTGGTGTCCTCTACAATATGCCGCTAGGCTCACTGTGCACTTATCTTAATAGCTTGGGGAATTCGGATCGGTGTGATTTTTGTTTGCCGTACGCATTTAGAATATTTCTGGACAAGTGGGCTTCGGCTCAAAGTGCAAGCTAAGAGGATCTGGTTATAAGGAGCATGAGCTCAGCCGCAAGCAATGCAGTTTTAGTGCGACTGATAATTTTAACAAACAAAATTTTGAGTTACACTGACCACGATGGGCTCCTTTTGTCACATATATTGCAGCACCACGACTAACCCTTAAGAAGCCAACATTCTCTGTTAATTTGCCAGGTGACTCACTCCATTCAGATCCGGGTGAACGACGCGAACGCTGCGCTGGACACGTACTCAACGCTGCTCATCATCTCAGTGCCTCTCAGCACCTCAGAGCCTCTCAGCATCTCAGCGCCTCTCAGCATCTCAGCGCCTCACAGCAGCTCAACGCCTCTCAGCATCTCAGTATATATCAGGGGCTCGCCCAGACTTGGGAAAGACCCAGCCAATTCACGCTGCCGGGGGTCGAGCAGAGACAGGGTGGCGCGTGCCGAGAGACGCTGCTGAACAACTGTCAGATCGATCCACCCACACCTACACCCACAACTACACCCACACCCACACCCACACCCACATCCATATCCACACCCACACCTACACCCAAACCAGCACCCACCTACCCACGCCCACACCCACAACCATCCACCCACACCCACACTCACACCCACCTGCACACCCACACACACACACACACCCACACCCACACCCACACCCACACCCACACCCACACACACACACACACACACACACACACACACACACACACACACACACACACGCACACACTGGCTTTTTGAGATGCTGTGAAACGCTATGAATGCAACTTCATGCCGTGGGTTTACACCTTACACTGTTTAAGAGCACGTTGCATGATACCGTATTACTGTGATTTGTTACAGTTTGCTGACATGCTCAGGTCAAGAGGTGTCGCGCTGCCGAGGTGCGCGACGAAAGCCGGGCGCGGTGAGTTACTGCTCGTGAACTTAACAAAATTGGAAGTTAGATGTGTCCAGCATGGTTTTTAGATCGCGCTGAAGTCGGCCTATTCGTATGGGAAATGTTTCCACCTCAGAGACCAGTTCTGCCGGCTGCAGCGCCCCCAGGGAAGTACGAAAAAGAGTTGAAAGCCAGCTGCTTCAAGCAAAGTTATGAGTTGTGCGACAGTTTGATGTCACACCGTTCAGGTATAAAACGCTGAGCGTTCCCATAAAGTGCTGCCAATATCGAAAGCAAAGCCTTTAAAACTTGGAAATCTAACAGAAAAGACAAAATGCCTGAAGTAAACCGGCGAGTTTCATATCGACCGGTGTGGCGGGAATGTCTAGCAATATGATATAAGACGACTTCCTTATTTTCAGTTTGTAAGAGCTTGACAAGCCTCTCAAGAAATGATGTATTCTAAGCATAATAGAACCTGTCCGACCATGGCTTGCAGATAACGTTGTTCACAATACGTGATAAAGTCATCAGCGTGGCTAATACCTTTAATTGGTAATGTAACAGGGTCTTAGAAGGTGGGTAATACCTTAGAAGTGGCTGCAAAAACGGCTCAATCTATGACATAAGCGCTACCATTATCCTGGCTTTATATTTGCCGTTGGGAAGCCATCTTTCATCGTTGTGTCGTTTGCATACCTTCATTTCATTTCAGCACGTTTTGTAGCGCATATGGGTGTTGAATGACTTCACGTTTAATAACACGCTTGTGACTATGACTGAAACTTCAGGAGGCAAACAGAACAGCAAGCCAGCAAGCTATAGTCACATTAATATCAATGCAGTACCCGAGGCTAACACAGAGCATGCCTACGGTATCAAGCATCCTGCATATTTCGGATGCGCTGCGCTCTCTCAAGGATCACGAGTAGTTTATGGGGCTCAATGTCACTAGTATACGAACTCCTAAGCCAAACCAACATGCCGAGCGCTGCCATTTTCACTGGACAGGCGCGGTTGATAGGGGCTCGGGTCGGTGTATGTCTGTCGGCTCAGCGGCGCGGAGGCTGCGGCTGACGTGGCGCAGTCGGGTGGCCGACCCCGGCCGGACGTCACTGCCGTCCGAGTTTGTCATCAGTGCGCTGCGGACAAACACAGTGACCAGACCAGCTAAAGACAGTGTTCCTGTCAGGTGTGCGCCACCCATCAGCGGGTGGCGACGGCAGCTCAGCCACCCCGGTTGACTGGAGGCAGCGAGCTCTGCCACCCAGACCGACTGACTGGAGTCAGCGAGCTCTGCCGCCCAGACCGGTTGACTGGAGGCAGCGAGCTCTGCCACCCAGCCCGACTGACTGGAGACAGCGAGCTCTGCCACCCAGACCGGGTGACTGGAGACAGCGAGCTTTGCCACCCAGACCGGGTGACTGGAGACAGCGAACTTTGCCGCCCAGCCCGGGTGACTGGAGGCAGCGAGCTCTGCCACCCAGACCGGTTGACTGGAGACAGCGAGCTCTGCCACCCAGACCGACTGACTGGAGTCAGCGAGCTCTGCCACCCAGACCGGTTGACTGGAGGCAGCGAACTTTGCCGCCCAGCCCGACTGACTGGAGTCAGTCTCAAGTTTTTGTCATTGCCCTAACTCTGTCTGCGTCATTGTCTGCAGCGCTGTCTTTGCTTTTGTCCCCGTAACATGTGTTTTCAGTTCTGTGTCTGCGGATGTCTGTCCTTTTTATCTCTTTTCTGTAAATACGTCTAAATTTGCATCTCTTTTGCATTTTCTTCTGGTATTCCTGGCTATAGGTTATTGCTCAGCTTCGATATCTCTTGCCTCTGTTATTAATGGCATTCGCAGAGGCGTATATTTACCCATTAATTCTCAGAGCTCTCCAGTTTTATGTCGACCGCCTGGCAACACCGAGGCGAATCTTAACAACAGTCCATCCGTCTTGCGTGACTTTGAAGGGGTTCTATCCGTACACACGTATTGATATGTGCGGAATCTGCGGGCTGAGCCTCGTGGCGAGCGCGGGCGCGGCGCCAGACCCGGCCCACTTCCCGCCGGCCCGTGCGGAGCGGCGCGCGCCAGTCGGGGCCCTGTCACCTGCGTCACTCCTCGACACCGGGCCGGCCCAGCTGCCGTCCCGGTTCGCTAACAGCACCGAACATCCCTGGCCCGACCTAATCAGGCGGGCCATCTCCGGCGCCGGCAGCCGGGCGCAAATGACGGTCCTGTTTCGGAGGGTCGGGACGGGCCGTACGTGTCGCCGCTGACGCCCGTGCCCGGCACGTGGCCGCCCACTGCAGCCGCTGGGCGATGCCTGATTGACGTGGGGCCCAGGCGCCCTCAGGGCTCCATAGCGGGGCGGTGGAGAGTGCCGCAGGGAGCGCCAGAGGGGGGGGGGGGATTGTGAACATCGCTTCGTTTGGCGGGCCAGGTAGGCAGCTGAGCAATGGTGAAGAGCTGAGCAGGCCAGCTGAGCGGTCGTGAAGAGCTGAGAAAGCCAGCTAAGCGGTCGTGAAGAGCTGAGCAAGCCAGCTGAGCGGTCGTGAAGAGCTGAACAGGCCAGCTGAGCGGTCGTGAAGAGCTGAGAAAGCCAGCTGAGCGGTCGCGAAGAATTGAGTAGAGATGCTTGTTAGTGATTTGGGTTAGAGTACTTTCGGCCTTTACTGAGCATTTCGTGGCTGTGGGATGAAGAAGAACGGATAACGGTGGGACAGAGCTACATGCACATGGGGATCCAATTGCCGAGACGAAGGTCGCACAGTGACCCCTCTGCGGGGTGTGCGCTCGGCGCTCGGACCAGTGCCCCACCAGGAGGCTTCGGCCGCTCGTGGCTGGCGCATGCAGCCTGCCCCGGACAAGCGGGGCGTCCGGAGAATGCAGGATCAATCAAGAAACAGGATAAAAGAGCGGATGCAGGGATGCTGGCTTCTCGGTCAGATCAACGCCGCTCAGTGGCGCCTCTACGCGCCGCCGTCGGCTTCTCTCTAATAAGGGCAATTACGGCGCATTCTTAACGAGTTATTAGCCGCCTGAACATTAATCGTATCGGTGGCTGTCAATCGGAGCCAATCAGACCGTGTCGTGGCGGCTCCGCCGAGCAAGCGACGCCGGTCCGAGACACGCAGGGACCATACTAAAATTTTAACAAGACAAAAACGGCGCGGCGGCCGACCGGCCGGCCGGTTGCGGCGCAGCGCCGGCCGCTCAGGCGCCGCCACCAGCCGGTCGGGGCGCAGCGCCGGCCGCCCAGGCGCCGCCGCCGGCCGGCGAGATTGAGCGATCAGTGGCCGCGTGGGTGCTGCCACCCCGCGGCGCCCGCCGGCGGCCGATTAGTGGGAGAGAAGTGTTGCCGCTCCTAATGCGACCGTAATGGTGCGGCGGCCGGTG